GCGTATGCGCATTGTAGCAATGTATACACACACACGCAATGTTTTGGTCAACTATCACTGTATCAGTGCACGCAACGAAATTTTGCTAACTTTTCCAGACTTCATGGACCAAGCAAGGAAACTCCGACATTTTTTTAGTCCAAATTGGAAGTTTTGCCGTCATTGTACGTTAGTTGTCGACTATTTAGGTCGACGAAAACACGTGTGAAAGATCCTGGTGAGTGGAAAACGTGATTGACTCGCTCAACCCGGTGTAGACGTCATATCAACTCACGTACCTCTTTTTTTATACGCGTCATAACCTGCCCATACCACTTCTTCCCCGTACAAAAATCACGCACTAACTCGAAAAACGCCAGAAGTGTTTTATAGTAGCAATTTTCCTTGATTTGGACACTTGAGAAAGGGGACCGCAGAACACGTAGGCTCGATTTCCGCCGCTTTCTCGAGTCCGGTCTACGTTCCTCCCGGGGGAGGAGCGCGGGCTCCTTTCCCGAACAACGGCTGGTAATCGAGCCTACAGAACTAGAACACGTGGCGAGCGTGTTACTGGGATGCCCCTGCCCTCAGACACGCCCTCAAGTATCGACTGCCTTTGAGTTTCACGCAACGCTTCTCTGCTCAGCTACTAGCCCGGGGTACAGCCGGTCGTGTCACAAAATCCTCGATTATAGTTCGTCCGAGACTCCCAGTTCCCAAAAGCTTGTGAAATCCCGCTGTTTGCACAGATATGTGTTGATCGGCTACTTTCTTACCCGCTTTGTGATTTGACAAATTCTTGCACAACATTTATTTTGATCCATTCCCTCAAACCCACCGGTTCGTGACTGGTTTGTTTTTGTCTTGCGGTGTTTGACACCTCTGATTTGTGTTGAAATGATTTGTTTTGAAAAGAGAGGAACGGTTTAGGGAGGAGGGAGAAAATAAACGGCTGAAAAAATATGGGAGAAGGCAGAAACACCGGTGAAAAAAAGTAGGGAGAAGGGAGAACCAACACAAAGCTTAAAGGGGTTAACAAAACAAACAACGCTTTCCCTTGGATAGTGATTTACACGGTGGATTCGGGCCATATCCAGGTGTTTTTCGTGCATGTGGTTTTCAGACCTCTTATAAAAGCCCGGTATAAACGTGATCTTTTTTCAAAGCAATGTATACACCATTGGGTTGAGTTGATTGAGTTCGGTTGCCGAACTCAATCGAACTATCGAACAAATCTTCTTTTCAAAGCTTTCTTCACAAAACACAGCATGCTGTAATAATAACTGCAGAAATTCTCGCGCGCTCTTGGCCAATTTTCACTTAGCCAAGAGCGCGCAGACACTTGAATTTTCATTTTTTGGGAGGCGCGGTGGCCTCATGGTTAGTGCGCTCGTCTCCGGATCGAGCGGTCCGGGTTTGAGCCCTGGCTGGGGACATTGTGTTGTGTTCTTGGGCAAGACACTTTACTCTCACAGTGCCTCTCTCCGCCCAGGTGTATAAATGGGTACCGGCGAACTTAATGCTGGGGGTAATCCTGCGATGGACTAGCATCCCATCCAGGGGGGAGTAGAAATACTCCTAGTCGTTTCATGCTACAGAAATCGAGATAAGCTCCGGCCTGTTGGGCCACTTGGCTCGCATGCAGACTTTACCTTTACCTTTACCTTGGCTAATTTTCATTTTCAATGAGCGCGCAGACACTTGAATTTATAATTTATACCTTTTTGTTATTATAAAAAACAAATTGACGTCAGTTTTGCATGCGTCTGTCCTGTTCTTGACAATTAATTTTATTTGCCTTGTTCCTAGGCCTTAATATTTCGCCGCGGTCAAACGTTTCGAACCACGTGGTCTAGGGCGAAATTACTCCCAGCCGTTCATTTCGGAAACTTCATCGAGATCAATTGACCGTGAAGGCCGGTGAGAAAGGCGTAAAGGAACTAGCCAAGAATTTCATCATAACGTCGTCAAAGTACAGTGGAACCTCGTATTAAATAAGGGTCACGAAAATTTGGCCGTATTAACGGGGTGGCTGATTTAACGGGGTTGGGCCAAATTTTATGATTGCTCTATCAAAATTGCCTTCTAAACAACTGTTCTATAACAAGCATCCGGAATGCAGATCGTTTAAAAAAATGAAACTTCAATCAGTACATACAATATTAACAATGGAAAGATGAATATGACTGGTTCGAGTGGCCATATAAACGGGGAAAAGTTATAATGGATTATAAAGGTTGGGATTTCAGATTGTGGCCGTTGGCCGTAGTAACGGGATGGCCGCATTAAAGGGATCTCCTAATAAGCAAATGTCTGGGCGTTTCGCCGGGATGAAAAAAAAGTGGCCGTAATAACGAGGTGACCGTATTAACGGGGTAACTGTAAGGCGGGGTTCCACTGTTACGACGGAATTCATGATCAGTAACAGGGCAGACGCACAAAAAAACTGACGCCAATTCGTTAATTGGATCATCGTGAACACTGGGCACTGTCTCTCGTCTAGAGATGAGAATAAAAAGTAGACAATTGAATAACCTACTCAGGCTCCTACCCCTAAACAGGAGCCCATTACCTGCCCTAAACGATTTGCAATTTCCCTCTTTCCATTCCGCTATCACTGCATTGTTTTTGCCAAATGATATCCTTAGCTGCCTGTCAGTTATGCTAAGGTGGGACTTAACCTAAAAACACACCATGTTTCAAACATTTTCTCGTGGCTAAGAGTTAACTTCAAACCATGGCAAAGTATGCATTGTTAAAAGGCTCAAAAACCAAAGATTATGAAAAAAATATTTGTGTACCCTATAACTGTATTGTAGCCTGACACCGGCTGATTAAATCTGCCACCTGCTAAAGAATGTCAGGTCTTACCTGAGAAAAAAATAACTCCTACAAGAACTGATCAAAAGGAATAATTTTTACATTTTAACAAAAGAAGACAAATAGCTTGCTGGAATAAGCATAGAGATTTTTGAAAAGTTAAAAACACATAAAATGATGACCAGTTACATCTGATACAGAAAATCTAACACACGTTTCAATGCATAACTTCGACAGAATGCACTGGATGGAAAAGTTCTATGCTTATCCCACAGAACGTACTCAGAACAACAAATGCTGAAAATTTTAGCTCAATTGAATAAATCCTTCTCAAGATATCTTTTCTCGAAGGCGAAAATAACTCGTTTTGAGAAAACGAGCTTTGAACTTACAGTAACAGTACTTGTCAAAATAAAACTTCAATACCTTAAGATTCGAGTTCCGTGAAAAACAAAACTTCGAATTTCTTTCAGAATTTTAGGTTAAGTCCCGCCTTAACGTTTCCGTGTTTTTTGTTTCGCGGAAATTTGTAGACTTCAGGCAGCTTTACTGAATCGAGAGTCCCTAGGCTCTGCGCGGGAAATGGTGTAGGCCCGCACTACGTGCGAAATGTAATACGTCCCGTATGTGTTTTGACAGCTTGGATTTTGGTATAATTCATATACAGTAAGTGAAGATTTTCACATAACGACAATTTCAGCTTATACAAATATCTTGTATATTTATACATCTCTTATCTCTAGACACGAGAGACATTGCGTAGAATCAATGATTATCTAAACGTGATTTTACGTAATGTGAAAAATGAAAGGTAATGTGATAATGGTGGATTACCGATTGATAGGGAATCAACGTGTTTTCCCGTGACAGATTTTAAAAAAGGCACCGCGAGTCAAAACTGCCCCGAACCAGACGTATTTGTTTTTGTCAGCTTTTAAGTTCATCATAGAATTTCATCACTGCTTCAGAAACTCATCACCAGCGGGCTGACGCCTGAAACAGATAAATCCAACAAAAGAACAGTATCTAGTTATTAAAATAGCACGAGCTTTTGAATACAAACGAAATTCGCTTTCCAGAATGAGCGGTATTTTTTTCTGGCGTTAATTGCCTCCAGCTTTATCTCGGGTTCACCAATCAGCTTGCGATCGCCGAAGATAAACTTTCACTTAGTTTGTTTGCCCTGTGGATTATACTCAATTGTACAAACAAATCAACATTACATCAATTTATTTTCCGTGACAAAAAAATATCCTCGAAAAGAAAATGCTTAGTATAGTAACTGAAAATGGAGACCTACTGTTTGAGTTGCAGGACGGCTGATTGTGAACATTTGATATGCAGCAAAGAAGTCTATACGCGCGTACGTAGCGATGCGGAATAATTAATCTTGAGACTTAACACACCTAATACGATACGGCTTTATCTGATAGTGCGATATTCAGGATATAGATTAACAGTGGTTGTCAGTTCTGAGTTTCATTTTGAACCTGGGCTCTAATGTAATTAACAGCAAAAAGTGGTGACTAATTAAGTCAGGCCCATTCACCCTGGTAAACGTGGTGTGGGAAGGACAAAACTGACAACTATGGATGTTGATTCAACAACGCAGAAACCGAAAAGCAAAACGAAAGTGCACCGGGTTAAGTCGTGCCCGCTACCTTTTGATTTAATCCTTCAAATCGCGTGTAGTAAGGACTCTTTGGATTCAGAATTTACCGAAGCGAAGAAGTTTGTCGAGTTGCTGCGTCGGAAAGGAAAAGAATTTCAACTGGATGCCATTAGCGCTTCTGGAATGACTGCCCTTACTCAGTGTGTGCTAGACGGCAATTTGAAGAGCGTCAAGGCTTTGGTCGAACTGGGAGCAAATGTTAACAAGAAGGACGGACTAGGATCAACTCCTTTGCACCACGCAGCAAGTGAGGGATACATCAACATCGTCAAGTTCTTGTTACGCTGCAACGCTGATGTACGAGCGCTAAATAGAGAACAACAGATGCCTATTGATGTGGCAGATGGGGATGATGTACGCAAACTGCTATCGCGTGTCACTTTGTTTTACTCACCCATTAGCAAAAAGTTGACAAGACAGGCCAGTTTGCCAGCTTCCATCTGGCTATGAATACCCAAGCTTTTCATCTGATGTATTGATTTGAAACAGTAACATATAGACACGAATATTAACCTCTAAATTAGTTTGACTCCTTCGTGACAAAGATCGCTGTCTTCAGTTGAAAAAAACGTGCTTTCCTGCAAGTCTTTATCAGCGAAATCGGAAAAGTGGTGACGATGATATGAAAGATCAAGAGGAAAACATAAAGGACTTTACGCTCGTCCCTAGGGCCTACTCACACGGACTGTTCTGGCCGTGTGGACGATACTAGATCTCTTTTAGAAACAGTGTTGCGTAACACAGAAAGAGATAAGTATAATTAACAGCGCTAGCTAGGGGCGAACTGAACTTTTTGATGTATGATTTGGCTTGTTCCGTGAAATCTAACTACTGACCTAAAGCTTGGACTTTTTTTCCCGATGGTCTACAACACTGGCAATTTGCCGAATGCTCAAGAATGTGTACAAGAAGGGGTCACCAGCATCACTAATTACTAACAGAAACGTAAACAAAACGACAGACAAATGACCCAAAGTTTTACTGATAAATTGTTTATTATCTCCACATTAGTGCCGGTTGTCTTCCATCCAACAGTCTCCAACCAGAAGCTTATCACCCCGCAGGCGCGCAGCCAGCTTTTCATTCAAGTAGTAAAGGAAATCATTTTTGCCGACATTAAACGTAGGAGCAAGCAACCAGTTTGACGCAGACAGTGAAATAAGGGGCAAGCGAGTTTGGTCTGCCGAATTCAGAAGCTGTGAACTGACTGCGGTATATTGCACACTATTCCCAATGACTTATATATACTACAATACGGTTGCTTCTTAAAAGGCGTAAAATCCCCGAAGCCTTTGATTATATCATCGTGGCAAGAAATTTCGGAAAAGTACTTTAATAGCGCGCCTTAGTACAGTCGTGTAACTCGTGCTTCCCTGCCCCCCCCCCCCNATCCCTTCCCGACATGCCTTCAGTCTCGACAACTGAAGCATCCGGCTCGGCTTATCCATGCATTTTCCTTGTGGGATTTATGCATTATACAAGAAAATTAACAGTTAAATAGAGGGTATTACACGGCGGCGCGTAGATAGAACTTTTATTTTCAAACGAGCGCAGCGACTGAGTAATATATAGATTTAGGCCAGCCTAAAAGCGTAACTCCTGGGCCAGGTTGTTATGGTAAAGGTAGAATTTTGATTTGAATTTGACTTTGTATTGCTTCAAAACAATCCTGCCCCTGCGATCCAATCGAAAACCAGCACTTGGTCAGCGGTCAACCTCAAAAAACACGTGACCTCGATGAGCTAAACTTGAACCCGCGATATGGTCACGTGATACTGATCAGCGGATACCTTGTTTTGACAGTTGTCAATTGATCATAACATGGATGTCCAATATCAAAGAAGAACGCGGTAACCAAGGTTGCATCTCTCTGTCAACCTATTATTTGGAGTATGGCCGCCATCTTGCGCGACTCCGTCGTCGCCGTCGTGCGTACGCGCCCACGATCAATACCGCAAGCCACGATAACCATGAGAAAATCAACTCATGGGTTTCCTTTTCTTTCCTATATGAGTATGGGGCTCCGCTTAGCGGCCCTTCGGGCCGCCGGAGCTCCGCTAAAATATTTATTTTTAACACGAGAAAATAAAACTTATGTCTTCAAGCCACCGTGTAATTTCCTTTTTCTACGTTGACAAACGGACTGTTTGTACAAACAACCGTGAAAAAGCGAGAAATGACGTCATCAATATTCGTGGAAACTACGGCACTCGGGTCCCGGATGGAGTTTCGAATGAAATTTACGAGTGATATATTTTTTAGTAAAACACTCTTGTTTTTTTTTTCTTTTTTTTTTCTTTTTCAATGGTCTACAATTAGACAGCAAATGTTCAGGAATACAGTACAAGGCGACAGATTAATGCATCAGTCAATTCCAGCAGTGCCCATCCACCCGCCGGGCAACCGCGGGGTATTTGCTCAGGTTGTCAGTCCCGGGGGTGGGGCATTCGCAATTTTATCGCGACCCGGGAGCTGGGCACTTGCGTACCCCGGAGCGACCCTCGGGCATTTGACACACGTGTTTTCGAAAGCGCCATGGATGAGTTCATCGGGAAAGACGAGGCGTTTGTCGAACAATGGCTTGTCCGTCAGGGACTAGAGAATATCAATAGAATGTGCCGCAGCATTATTATCTTTTAGATACCCTAGTAATATTAGACAGTTTATGCATCATGCTTCTTATTAAACACTGTCCAATTGCGGAAGAGTGTATGTGGACAGTACGCATCATTTTGTGCATTCTTTTTCTTGGATAGATGTATATGAATAGATTCCTTTTCCTGTGCATGTTGGTTCCAAACAAACTTAGCTGTTATTTATTTTTTAATTTTTATCAAGGTGTTTAACCGATGGCTATATATTCATCAAATTTTGTTACAGGTTTTTGATAAATTGGTAAAAGGGGTTGTCTAATCTTGTTTGTGATCATCTTGTCATTAAACAACTTGGACTCCCACTATGCACTTTTCTGATTTTGTTAATCACTCATATGATTACAGAATGAATTGACTCCATTCAGTCCTATTACCATTATTTAACGACTTGATTTTACAGTCTTATGTCTTCCATTAGGCCTGGGTCCCACACAAAAGCAGCTGATCACATTGGATATCACACAAATGCAACAGCTTCTAGACAATTTCAATACATCGTAGATGATTGTAATGGATCAGAGAATAGTAATTAACGTTTTCATCTTGAAATCGCGTTTTACAAGGAATAGCGTATGGTATCTTTTTCTCAGTTGCACCTAGGATCATCTGGGATCTTATAAAGCCAGGCTTGAATGACAATATTGTTTCTGTTTGGTCTCTTTTAGAATGCTGTCTTCCAAGATTCTCTAGCAAAGCAGTCTTCAGTATCTCGTGGTTCTTGGGAGGTTACTAGCATTGAATTCATTCATGCCTTTGTAGCTTCATTATCTGTCATCATTGTTTCCGAACTGGGCGACAAGACATTTTTTATTGCAGCCATTATGTCAATGAGGCATGCTAGATTGGTTGTGTTTACAGGGGCAATGTTCGCCCTTGGCTTGATGACAATTCTTTCAGCAGTCCTAGGTTATGCAACAACTGTCATTCCGAGGAAATACACTCTGTATATATCAACTGCACTGTTCGTATTTTTCGGTCTTAAGATGTTGAAGGAAGGTTATGATATGGATCCTAATGAAGGCCAGGAAGAATTAGAGGAAGTTCAAGCAGAACTTAAAAAGAAAGAAGCTGAAGTAGGTTTGAATAGCTTAGAAATCAATATTATTAATACTACTCATAATACAATACCTTTTGTCAGGAGTGAGAGCTGATTTTTTTAAACAGTTGGTAAAAATGTGTATTACTAAATACTATTTGATTTTTCCAATGCAATGTTATTGTACTGTTTAAAGTTTTTTCCATAGTGGTTGCCATGAAAACCAAGTTTAGAGAATTTGCTCTTGACACAATGAGTGTTTTTAACATCAAGCTGTGTTGTTTGTTGACTATAGGAAACTTAAGCTCAACTCTGAATTTGATCCACATAAAGGGCTGGTGAAAACAGTATTAATAGCATAACCCATAGCAAAGAAATGAAACATATAGCAATTTACCATCTAATAGGTTAGTTTTTTCTTGTTCAGATGGCAAAAGATGATTCATCTACCATTACTCAAGATGTGGAAACTGGTATCATTCGTGGTGGGAAAAAACCTGCAAAGCTCTTTGGTCTTCTTTCACCTATATTACTACAAGCATTCACACTAACTTTCCTTGCTGAGTGGGGTGATAGATCACAGCTAGCTACCATATTGCTTGCATCTAGAGAGGTGAGTTTGACTACAGCTTACTTATAATTAACACCTGGGGATACTCTGTAAATCTTTGAGTGTGGAGTGTGCCACTGAGACACTGAAACCCTTACCCAATACTAGACCACGATCAGCTTGATTTTGTAACCCTGTCCTAGACTGGACACCAAAAACCCCTACCCCCACACTAGCTATTTTCCCTGCAGAAACTTTATCACCATCATAGCCCAATATAGCCAAACTAAACCAATATCTTACAAAGTCACTTCCGAGTTTCAGTTTCTATCGTAGTAGTCCAGGTAAAGAAACCTGTTCACTGGCTACTTTTCCAGTAAATATTCCAGACTAAATTGCCTGAAAAACATACTCTTCAGAGCACCACATACCTATATAGCTCTGCTTATATATGGGAGTACCCCGTGGGAATTAACATAACCCACTTACAAGGTACATGTATCAGGAAAACTTGTAATTTATGCTGCATAACTTTTGTAGACTAATTTGAGTGCTCCAGTCTGAGAAGTTCTTTGACATTTACTATAAGTATCACCTAACTTGTGTACTCATGCAAATCCTGCATTTTAATTGGCTATGTTACTAGAGGACTATTAGTAATAGTCCTCGAGTAGTGAAATTGGCTTCGCCTCATGGGCTATTGACCTGTAGCCCACAAGGGCTATGGGTCTAATAATATTGTTAATTGGCACAAGTGAGTCCCATTTGATGTCTTACTATGCATTATTTACAAGATTACGGGTACTTATCATTCTTCAGGTTCTGAATGGAAGAAAGGTCTTTGTTCGGCTTACTTTGTTTTAATTTCTTGTTCAGTGCACCGGCTTATAGCTTTGAAAATACCATGATTCAAATATTAAAGCCAATACCTCAGTTTATTTTGAAAAGTTTATGGTAGGTTACAGGTGACAGGAGTTTCACTATGTACTGACTGTTTTTTCTGATCAACATCTGTGTATTTTGTTGTAACTGAAAACAAATACTTCCAGACAGACATTTCAAAAGTTTTGTTGAAGTTTTTGTGTTTTTTTTTTCTACAGAATGTAGTGGGTGTGACTATCGGTGGAACATTAGGACATGCCTTATGTACTGGACTTGCTGTTATTGGTGGTAGATTAATTGCACAGAGAATATCTGTCAGAACAGGTACTTAATGTTATATATTGCACTTATAACAATATACAGTACTGTTGTTTCTGGTGTGAAGGAGGTCTGCCCATATTTGCTGCTGCATGTAATTTGTGAATCTGAACAACCACAAAAGCATAAAGAACTGTGATGTCACAGGGTTTGCAAGCAGTTTATTTTCCAAAGACCATACAACAAAAAAGCACTGTGAGCATATGTCTCCATTGATGGTGTGCCCTTGTGAAGAACAAAGGAAAAAAGTGAAGGTGGAATGAAAAAAAAGCCAAAGCATTATCGTCAATTCTTCAGAACTATTTTAGGAAACTTTTTCATTTGGTTTTATAGGCACTTCAAGAAGTTTAACTTGCAATGTTTCTTCTTCTATCTTTCAGTGACGATCATAGGTGGAATTGTCTTTTTGATATTTGCATTAACAGCCTTTTTCATTGAAGAGTAAACCAGGAGCAACCAACAAATGAAGACCAAAGGTTCACACGTGTACGACGACCCTGAAATACACTGTTGTAGCAAGGAGTAGAACTTCTGTACCACTGTGTGTGCAAAGATATATATATAACAATGACATGCTTCAATTTGACATTGCCTGCATCATTGGACAATGTGTCTTGTCCTTAAATTCATGAGGAGATTTACAAATAGAAGAACAATCGGAATACAATCTTGTTTTGTTGACTGGATGATTACAAGGGATACATGATCAGTATAATCTTGAGAAATATTTAAGAACTCCACCAACTCAGTTCAAGAAATCATTACATTATGTGAGCTCTGATTCCTTTAAGAAATGACGTACACTGACAGTTTGAAAACGTTTGGGAATATGACAATGATTGTCACCTCAGGAGTAGAGAATTTAACACTTGCCGAGAGCAAGGCCCTAGTCAAGACCTTGGATGCAAGTCTTGATGTTTTATTTTGTTAGCTCAAATAGCCTGTAAATGCAGTTGGATTTCTACTTGTTGCATATTTTTTTCAGGTGGAACAACAAGTGAACATCCATCTACATTCATGGAATGTGAAACTAGTTCAAACTGTAATCCCAAGGTGCAATCTTACTTGCATTGAGAATTCTCCAGGTCACATATAATTAGAAATGGGTGAACTATTCCTCTTAGCAAATAATATAGACTTGCATAAATCCAGAATGGTTTTGATTCACTGTTTGAAACTTCAAAACATCATTCTTTAAAACTTACTTTGTTATCACTTATTACACAGAGAATACTCCTCAAAAGTTCTGGAATGGTACAGATTGTATTGGGCAACCTGTATTTGCATAATTTAAATTATATGGTAATGGTCACATGAGTATTTGCTTGAAGTTTCAAAATTTGAAAAACAAAATAGTGCAGCTCTGTACTTATGAAAGTTGTTCTGACCCATTCATGTCAGTGAATGTTTAACCATTGACTGCAAGTTTTTGATTTGTTTATTGAAGACTAAGCAAACCATATTGTATATATAGATAAATACAATAAATTATTTATAAAAGTGAGTAGAGGACCAAAATACCCGGTTTTAAAACCCTTTGAAGCCATGACGTAATTTTTCTCAAATAAATACAAGTATACACGTACATGGCTGAGTCCATGTGCAGTGATTCTCACAGTGAAAATTTGTCAGTTGAAGGAAAATACCGGTACTTGTGTTGTTTTTTAGGCTCTTTTTGAAACATTACATGGTGTCCAGGCTTCTGGGACTAAAAAAAGAAACCATTTTCATTCATCCCTCAATCACTCCATGTCTAATTTTGTTTTATTCCCCTAAGCTTTGGCACCATTTTAGAATTTTTAGGATCAGGCAGTCTTGTTCCATGCTAGCCTCCTACACAGATGCTCCTTGGGCTCATCAAGCAATCTTCCTCCCCCAAAAGGTTGTGTGACATGCCCAAAGAGTGTCTGCATAGGTGGCCAGTTCCAGACTCTCAGGATGTTTGAATCAGACAACACAAGATTATGCAGTGTGGCCTGCCCTTCTTTCATTTTTTGTTCAAACAGTTTGGGCATTTTTTTTTTTTGCAACCCACAATCTGCAAACCAATCTTAACAATAATAATACCACATTTCTTCAGTGGCCAGTGGAGCACAGTTCTGTTGTGTTTAAGAGAATAGTAATAATAATCTGTACGATACTATCCTGTATGTGTTTTAAGAGCAATTAAAGATGATTGATAAACCTATAAATTTGCTGGTATTGATAAAAAGCTGCCAAGGACAGACTGAGTTAAATATTTGGACTCTGTGAGACACATTTATTTGAGTGGGTTAGACTCGAGAGGCTGCAAAATCACAGAATCTTGGGATGTTGGACAGATGTTAATTTTGTTTCCAGAAGTTGTCCCACAAAGTGTAATAGACCATGCAGTATTATCAAAAACTGGATCATTGGATAATGTAATTCAAGAGTTTCCACTGGCATATCCATCATGGTATATGGGGTGTACTATGCTCTACAAATACGGTAAGCCTATGCATGATTTTGGGGGGTAATTATAGCAAACTCATATCCATCATGTATCCATTGAATAATTGAAGCAGTACGTGAAATAAAGCCCTAAGTGACTTTTGGAAAACTTTGAGGTAACCAGCATTCAAATACCTTCCAGCCATAATTTGTTACAGTGTACTCTGTTTTTAATTATTATCTAAAAAGAACTCTTAATAATTATTATTACTAGTTCATCTTAGAAAAGAATGAAAACCAGAGTAAACTGTAACAATGGCTGGAAGGTATTTCAATGCTGGTTACCTCAAGGTTTCCCAAAAGTCACTAAGGGCTTTATTCAATGCACCACTTCAATTATTAAATATCCAAAGATATTATGGGTGTCACATTCTTCCAATGCTCAATCAAAGTTCAAGGTGTTTCAGTGCAAAGCAAAACACCATCATGAATAAGTTACTCCACCTTAAATCTGTGCTTTCTTTGAGTGCAGCAAACTCTTGCAACAGACATTTATGACCACCCTTAACACCCTTCAGCAATGTTGTGTATGTTTTTGTCCGACGAAACAGATGTACATTTCTCATTAGATGTTTTAGAATTAGTGTGGATTGCTTACTGGCAAGTTCCACTAAGTGGGATACAAATTACGTGTGAAACAAGTACAAACACTGATAGTAATGGTAACCTCCCCCCCCCTACCCCCCAAAAGTAAGGGCTCCTAAAAGTAATGTTTCCTTTTTACCCTGTTACTGAACCCCAAAAGCAACAGCCCACCCAAAAGCAGACTACAACGTACTGTACATAACACTTGAGGCCTTTTTCCTGGTACAGTCTGCATTGTTGGTGGGTAGTTGGTAACATACATAGACAGAACTTTTGACTTCATGTGTTACGTGTCGGCTTTGTCAGAAACAACAGCTTACTGTGAATCACCGTACATGTATAAACGTTTTTTAACCATCTGAAAGTAATGGCCACCAGAAAAGTAGCAGCCCCTTTTGCCTGCTAAATCTCAAAGCACCAGTAACAGGGACCCATACTTTCAGAATTCTATTGTTACCCACAGTATTTTCACTCAAAGAAACTGATCAAACAGTTCAGATGTAGTCCTGTTAGTTTTCCTAAGCACACAGTTTGATGTTTGATTTTTGGGAAGGAAAACGTTGGATAATTGATCTCTTACTAGATATTTATTTTTAGTGTTCTGTATTTCTCAACATTTTCACTCCAATTGCATTTTGATTTCCTATGAGCTTACAAATGTACCACCAAACCTGTAAAAATAGGAAGTTACACAACACACTAAATGGATAATGTTGAAAAAGTATAGGTAATCGTATGAATGCAAGTGCAAATAAAGATTTACACTATGAGTGATATATGAAAATTCTCTCCAAATTGCATGAGCCTTTAGGCAAGTGTAATTTGAAAGAATTTTCAAATATCAATCATAGTGTAAATATCACTCAAGCTTTCATACGATTGTTCATTTATAATATGACTGACAAAATTGCGAATGCACACACATTAATTTGCACTGCAGTGCAAATTGAGAATTAACGATAAATTAGCCCTGCTCTCAGCCAATCACATAGAAGTAATTTTCCCAGTCATATAATAATAAGAGATTTAACCTAACATTTTCTTTCATGAACTGTTTTGCATTACACAGGCTCTTGTAACTCAGAAGACTGTGGAAATAATGGAGATATTTGTACTGTAAACAACTAATTGTTTTCCAAAAAAAAAAAGCTGCAAAAACCCTAAGGGGAGGTGAAAGAGAAAACAATACTTCTTGTTTCATTGATTGGAGAAATGTAAAAATGTTCCAGTCAGAGGTCCATAGAAAGGAACTTGGAATCAAACACAAGAAACAAGATTTTTGTTTATTGAAGAATTTATTTCTGTACAGAGGTTCAGTTTACTAATCCTCACTTTCCACCTTCTGTGTTTGTAGGCCTAGAAGAAAATATCAACAACAAACTCAGTTCAGGTTCATTTAAGTAAATTTCAATATCCCTTACTCAAAGTATTAATAAGTGCCAAAAAGGGAAACGGAAATGCAATAAAATGTAGTTTGGAACACTTGCGCATGCGACAGGAATCAAAACATTGATTAACAGTGCGCAGATTTACTCAGACAACAGCAGAACAATAAACTACTCACCCTTGAATGTAGCCACAGGGACGTGAGTTACGAGGGTGTACAGTTTGTGAACTGAGTCTTCGTCTTCATTCCTCTTACGAGCTAGACGAATTCTGACTCTAAAAGGTACATTTCTAACAACCAAGACAAAAAGAAAAACATTTCATGACACTACATGTAACGAGAACCCGACATGCAATGTAACACTGTGATGATGATTTGATTTAGTGACCATTCTTCTTTGAGTCTTTTGTGAAATTGATAAGACTTGGAAATCTTGCAAGTTAAAACAGTATTACTTTCAGTCATGTTGTTACAACATAAAGACAGATCTTAGGCTGAATATAAAAACATTTATTGATACTAAAATTGCATTTCATTATAGAGTAGTTTTCTATTGAGTAAAAATCCACAGTGGAGTCTATACTTTTCAAACCACCCAGAGGAACAGAAACTGGTTCAAAAAGGCAGGATTTCAAAAAATCAAGGGTATATTTCTGCTGCATTTTGTCACAGAGCAGAAAAGTGCTTCCAGCAATTGGGGGTTCAAAAGATTGAGGGTTCAAAAAATAATAGGCCATTTTCATATTCTCTGTATTGGACTGGAACTAGCATGCAACTGAGGCTAATGCAGGGAGTCTTTTCAAATGCAAGTAAAATGTCACTTGCATGACAAAAGAAATTAAAAGAAATTAAAACTTCTTTTTGATGATATTCCCCCTGCACGAGCCTCCATTGCAAGCTAGTTCCAACTCAATACCAAGAAAATGAACATAGTCTGTTGCTTCGGTTTGGCTTTGCTACATTTTGTTATCCATGAAACTCAGCAGGTGTATTTTGCAGAATGCAGAATGTCGAACATCAGCTCCAAATGAACTGTTTGTTTGAGATTAGTTTCACTCATGTTTGCTTGCAGTTCTCAAGCTCTTACTTGATCGAAAGGATAGCACCATATTATTAACCCTTTCAACAAATAAAAGCTAGCTGCAAGTAGACACAAGTAAAACTTACCACAAGTAAACATTGCATTCGGCATTGGACCTTCTACAAAATATCCTGCTAAATGGCACTGAAGTGAAACACAACTATACATTAGATTTAACATACAGATGCCACATGTGGAAATTGCAGTAGCAACAACACTTGAACCAAACAATGACTAATAGAGTATTTGTAACAGCAAGGAACAATACATTTAGTAGCAACCAGTACAAACATACCTGATACCCTTTGACCAAACATGCTTGTTAAGATTGGTGTCTACACGAACGTCAGGGGTTCCCATCATTTTCTCAGCAAACTTTTTTATTTCTTTGATAGCCCTTGGAGCTCGCCTCTTGAATCCACTGTTGAAAATAAACAAAATTATTCAACTGCTTTCCAATAAAATCCCTAGCTTTGAAGACTAGCAAGATCCCACCAATAAATGAACACACATTTCTTTTTGTGAATTATACGCAGGGTACAGTTAACAATAATTATTATTCCACAAGCTTGTGTTGGACACAAGATGATAGATGCCCAATGAGGTGCGTAGCATTGAGTTGGCTATAATCATTTCATATCCAACAAGTGCAAGTGGAATAACTTCATATACTCTAATGACCAGGCCAATGAAAACTCTTGGATTGCATAGACAGTTTTTAAAAATCAATTTTATAATATTCTTGTTTTTATTAACAAGCCGTCATGCAACAACAACTATGTGAATAGCTATTTGTAGAAACTAACATGAATACTGAATACTGAATACTTATGACCATGCAAGCCAGACATTCGTGCACATGTGCCATACAGTTGTAAAGACCTTTTCAAGATACAAACAGAAGCTACAACAAAATGTTTCTACAATAAACTTGACGAACTGTTTCAACTACTCCCCATAAGTTAATAATAGACCCCTAGCAATTAAGATAGCAAAATTTCTACAGCTACTGACTACACTATAGACTACCTTCTAGTGCAGCTAAGAAGAGGAAAAATCTCCTCAAAATAAGTCTTCAAGTCTTAAACAAAATCGAAGGATTTAATGAGAATAATAGAAACTTCTCCAGGGAATCTATTGTTAAAAACACACGTAATAAAGTCATTGTATTGTTGAAGCCATTTTTTTTTTTAATAGAACGAAAGACACCACTCACATCCCATGGATTCTCTTGTGTACGTTGATGGTGTACTCGCGAGTCACAACTTCATTGATGGCAGAACGCCCCTTCTTCTTATCGGTTTTCTTCGCCATCTTACAAAAGAAAGAAGGGAGAGTTAAAAGAAAATAATGTATACTTAAATATTCAGAATTCGCACGATTTGATGCCCGATGGATTGGATATTTTCATCGTTCTCACGATATGGTCACGAACCTTCAAGGGCGATTTGAGAGAGAAAGAGTCGTTGGGGGCACCATAGCATTGTGGGACGGGAAGTTTCGCTTCCAGTCTCTCCTGCGCCCTCGCGAGTTTACAAAATTTTGTCTTTATAAAACGCGGCTTATAATGTTAAACAATTTGAAACAGAAGTAACCCAAAATACCATAGCTTTTTAAACTTCTTCTAGAAAAGGGCTCTGGTCAACAATCCATTTCACTGCCAGCTACAGGACCAACAATACACTCGCGCGACTCGCGGGCTCCTCGCACTAGCCTTGTCTAAACTTTGCGAGACAGGTGGTTCCGAATACAATAGCAATCAGGAGCCATATTCCTGTAGCAACTGAACATCCTCGTTTAATAGTCAAATTGCTTCGTGCAGGTCTTTCCAATAGGAAAAAATAAAGAGCAGATTGTGAAATACTTAGTAAGCGATAGAAAATGTTGGCCGGTTTTTCTAGTTTTCGAAATATTCATACAGGTCCGCGTGTGCATGATAATCATTCTGAAGCAAGATTTAGTGTCATTCGTAAGGATCCCAGTATTGATCAGCATTTCACAAGGTACTAAAACTTGCAGTGATCGTCAATTAAGCTCGAAATCAAAGCACAAAACCTGATGGTGTTGGAACAATATAACAAGAATATCAAGGTTAAGCGACCGAGTACTGAGCAGAACATCATATAACGATAAAACTTCCCGTGCTTTTACAGGAAGTTGACATTACCTGTGTGTTCCGTGTCTTAGGGAAAACCCCAGCTATGGCCACAAAACCTTGATGCAAAAAAAAAGACATAAGAATCTACTGACGTTTTCGGCTTGCAGAAAGCTACACATCCGAATTGATAAGGAATAAATGTAGAGTTAATTCGCGACATCAGGAGCAGTGAGGTGTAGCGCTGAATTCTACCTTCACGGATATAGTATGATAGTTTATCTCGCTGCACAAGTAAATTCCTGCACAAGAGTTTTAGTCAACTTTGATACTGATGTTAATTGTTCCGGTCTCACCGACTGGGAGCAATGATCCATGGTCCGTTGCAGCTCGATTCAGCTTCGTTGCTGAGTACCGGAAGACTGTGAAAACCGTAACCTTGGAAAAGATTCCGGGTCGGTGGAGTCAAGCATCTGCATTGGACATTAATTATCGTTCTTTCGCCAAGCGAAGAGCATACGAGGTTATTGACAAAAAGATAACTAGGGATCCTTTAGATCCATTAGTGTTACTTAGTCCCTTGTCAACTCATGTAAATGAGCTTCATTCAAGGTTAGAACCCTTGAATTCTGAACAGTTAAGAATAGTTTTATAAGTAAGTTAGTCGATTACGACCTATAGATTCCCAAGGTCTCTTTGGTAAACCGATTGTTTCTCTACCTTCCCTTCCCTTTTCTGTCATACTTACGAGCTCTCTCTTTAATTCACACTCAGTGGTTATCCGGAGACCTCATTTAATTTCAGTGCAAATCAGCGAAACCTGCAAACCGTCTTATGGACCTTTTTACCCGAGGTTAAGCTTTTCCGATTTTGTTCATTCAAGCAAAAGACAAGCCTCGATCACCACTAGAAATATCATTCCGAATTTAGTAAATATGCGAAGTTTCATAAGCATCATTTGCAAACTCATAAAAATATGGGACTCCAAACTTGCCGGTTTATGTTAGAAAGATCGAAATGTATGCCAGGTTGCCCCTAGCATACATTTCTTTGTAAAAATTGGCATGTTTGGGGCCCCACATAGGATTTAACATATAGTAATTAACTCAGTTTTGTTATTCAGTAAAAGTTTATTGAAACTTTCTTCCTTCTAAACACTCTTTTTACTTATCATGAGTTCTGTACTGGCTTGCGAGGATTTACTTAATTTCAGTAATTTTCCTCTCCGTAGTGAAGCTCTGCTTCAAAACATTTTCCATGGCTGAAGAATTTTTAAGGAATCGAAACTTGTCATTGAATAAAATTCTTTGCTTAAACAAGGTCATCACGACAAATATTTCTACGGTACGGGAAAACACTGTGAGCGTTAAAACTTTACCATCATGGACGTTGGAAAATTACTGAAGGATATAAGCGTTTATCTGCGAAAGTGAAAGAATCTTGAATAATCGAGCTGCGCGCCACAAACAGTGGAACGCTAACTATAAGGCTCTATGGCTCCTAGCTCTATCTGAAACAGCCTCTTTAGATAATTGGTGTCTTGTAGAAGATCTGGGCATTCGTGTTCACTATTTGGTAAATGTTATTCCTCGACCGGGAAGGTGATCGTTTGCCAGAGCGTTCTACAGACTTAATTAACGTCCGACTTCAGAGTTTTCAGTGAAAAGAGTCTAGGTGGTGAGGCAGTCTGATCTCCTCAGTACCAGGGTAAGTTCACTTAAAGAGAAACGAAGTTTTTGCAAACTCAAGCTGATATGTGCACTACAGTTGACCCATTTTGTGTTATTTCGCCTTCTTTCTGAATGTTCAAACGTTTTAGTTAAGGGCTTGGACGATGAGACAAAAATGTATGCATTTATTGTATTGTTTTTCCGCCCGAGAGTGAACCAAATTTTTCGAGTTTCATTTGGAATATTCCTTGGCAGATTCAAAGAAGAATGCATCGCTTCAATCTTTGTGTAGAAACTTTATATAGATGGTCCTCTTTCTTTTCCATGAAAAGTTATTAGTATATGCGCACAATGACTCGACATTTATCGTGCAATAAGTTATAGAAACTTGACGAGGTTTATTAACGGGCTTGATCTTGTTGAATATCTATTTTGAATTTTTAACGTCCACAGACTTAAATAGGATAAGTTAGTATTTTCAGTTACATTTTTGCGAAACTCACTCGACTCGGGCATGCGGAAAAAAAAATTGATTTAACTACTTGTCAAATGGGCAATACGAGTAACAACTGATGTAGCAGATACAGCGCACAAAAACTTCATGCAATCAAACCGTTATTCTCTCGAGCAATGTGTGCAATGTCATCAGTTTTGCAACTGAGTTGAATTCACGTAGTCAGTTGTGTTTAGCTGCATTCATGGCTAGGGCAAAAGAGTTAAGACCGCTTGATGAAAGTGACCGGAAGTTCATGTCTAAGTTTAGCTCCGTTCCACTCTGGTGATGATTCCTTAGGTAAAATATAATGACAAATCTGTAGTCTATTTCTTGACCATTTTTCTTTGAAAATGCGATCATTTAGCTCGTCATCAAGTTTCCTTAAAGTTTAAAGGACGTTAAAATTTGTAGTCCTCGAAACATTTGCTTCAAGTTGACTTGATCAATTCTTGCAGCGTAAAGAAGGAACGTGTTCCACCGGAGAGCAAGTCGGCAGGGAAACTTCTCTTCCGTGAAAACTGATAAACATGACGTATTTATGTGTTTATTCAGTTAGATCCAGGTTGGTTCAATCAATTACCCTAACTTGCCAAAATTATGCTATATTTGCAAAGAACCTGTACAGTCAAAAGTCGAAACTAATACAATTGACTTACTGCCTATGTTTTCAGGAACAATTGTATTTCATGTTCTTAGCCGGTGCAGCTATAAACACGTACTGCGACTTTGACAATCTCTTGAGTGACATCATCGCCGCTTTTTGCTTCCGAACAGAAACTTGTTTTTATTTGTTCCTGTTACAAGTATTCCATAAAGAATTCGTATAATATACTAAAAATTAACTGCGGTAATAAATATTGGTAGAGAAGTGCGCAACTGGAACAACGTTGCGTTGGAAACTGTTGTAATTAGTAACCACAAATTAAAACTGCAGGCCAAAGGGTATAGGAAATTACTGATATTTACGCGGACGCAAAAATAACCTTTTTATATCTTCAACTTCCTACGTTTTTCTTTTTTTTTTTTTTTTTTTTTTGTCAAATTCTAAACGAGATTTCACCTCTAGAGCTTGCACCAACTCCAGCTCGAAAATTGTTTAACAATTTCTAAAACAACTGGAGCACTGTATTCGCAAATTTGTCCCCAAGCTGTGTAAAGATTTTAAAACGTTTACAACGGAAGCGATTTATTGCACGCAATAGTTTCAATTGTCGGATTGAAGGTCTCTTCATGTTGTTGTTTTGTTCAAGTTACTGCACAGGAAGAACATACTTGCCACTTTATACTTAATTGTTTGCTGATGTTAAGTAACGTAAATGTTGCTGGAACTCTCTTTCAGGCCAGTTCATTATGATATCCGCTAAGTCATTATGACCTCAACCCATTGTTGTGGAACAATGTGACTTTGTTCTCTACGGGCCACTGACAAATCGGATTCCGTGTTTGCAAGCAGGTTTGTTCGGGTGCACTATTAAAATACTGGACTGGTGAAATTCAGTGCAAAACCGACGAGGTCACTTCAGGTGCGTCAACGAAGAAACAGCTCTAAAGCAAAACAACGGGTGAATAGGACAAACGACAACAAAATATTACACTTGGCTGACGGTGCATCAAACCAAGAGTGACACCCTCAGAGATTCAGACTTGAAGAAGTAAGACCGTGCTGTGTTACTGGAGCGCCAGAAACGGCTTTAACGAAGACAAACAGCTTAGAGGTATCCAGAAGAGCTCGCCAAGTGTCTTCGTGAAGAACGGACTAGTACGCAGCAGAACGCAGGTACTGAAACTGCTTCAGCACAAGGAAGGTCGTCCATTAGCGCATCTGGTCCTCCGTACATCTGGCGTCATAACCCAAACGATCCACGGTTGCAAAGCAAGCCGCACTGATTAAACGGATGCACAAAGGACGCAAGGCCTAAGTTCCCGGCAAGAGAACTATTGTGGTCTGCAAATCAGCTCGGTTAAGACAAAAGAAATTTGCACAAACCTCGGGACAAAATTCGACTCTCGAGCTCTAGGCAAAACATCGTGATCGTTAGCAGAAATACAAGAAAAGACACGAGCGTCAAGACCGATGAGTTAAGCAGGAAGACAAGTTAAGACACCAGCTGCAAGACAAAGATCAAGGCCCAAGCAGGAAGACAAGACCCTAGGGAGAGGACAAGGTACAAGCATCAAAGAGAAGACCCGACGAGCTAGAAAGAACAAGATATCACAAGCATCAGGACAAGAATCAGGAGCAAAGTAAGAGGACAGGACAAGACACAAGCTTCAGGAACAGGACAAGCAGCAAGACAGGACAAAACACAAGCATCAGGAACAGGACAAGACACAAGCATCAGGAACAGGACAAGACACAAGCATCAGGACAGGACAAGACACAAGCATCAGGACAGGACAAGACACAAGCATCAGGACAGGACAAGCAGCAAGACACAAGCTTCAAGACAAGACCCAAGCAGGAACGATGTATGGAATGCCTCGCAGCGGACCCAGTTCATCACTCAGCGGAACCAACTCACCAGTATACGGAGAGAACATTGATTATGCCATCAGAATTGTCGAGCACTTTATCAATTTCCTTCCCTCGAGTTCAGGTAAGCTATTTTTGCTTGTGATACTTGCATGGGTCATTGTTGGTTTTCAGGCTATGAAACTTAACTGACACAATGAGATCAAGAGAAAGTTTCCACCTTCATGACAGATGTATTCATACGATGTGCCAGGCATTACTTCAGTTAGACCATGCGTCTTAATAAGCCGGTTTTCTCTAAACGATACCTCGGCAGTGGACTGAAACAGTTTAAAAAAGTAAGTTCACCACATTTCTGATTCTCAACCGTCAAACCAACAAGATCACCAAGTGCTTTTAGTTCTCAGTGGCTGAGAACATGCACTGCACAAAGCTCACAACGAAATCCTGAAGTATTGGGGGGGAAATCTTCACTAACTAGTACCAAAAAAATGGATTATATAAAAGGACACTTCAT